GATGGGGGTCTGCTGGCCAGTGCAAATCCTCCAAGGCCCAGACACAGAAGGCCCTTGGTGGCTCCCGGAACAGTGTCCGGTGGCCCATGACCTGTGCCCACGGGCCCACAGTGCTCTGGTTTGTTTTCTGGGCTCCTGAGACACTCAAAAGAATGGCTGTCGGGGTTTCCTGGCAAAGAGGTGGTGCCCCACACCGCGGATTTAGTTTTCTTTTCCCTGTTTATTTGCTTATTGCAGTTCCAGGGGCTGAGCCCAGGGGCACTCTCTACCATTAAATTGCACCCCCAGCCCTTTTAAATGTATTTTGAGACCAGGTCTCACTAAATCCCTGAGGCTGGCCTCGAACTTGCAATCCTCCCTTCTCAGTCTCCCCGGTCGCTGGGATCACAGGTGTGCACCACCACGCCCAGCTCCCTGGTTATGTCTTCATCTTATGAAGCTGACCCAGGCCACTAGAACCCTGAGCACCAAGGTATTTCGGAAAAAACCCAAACCCTTCTTTTCAGTTGACTTCACTGAGAGTTTCAGGTGAACCCAGAGCCAGCCAGTAGCCTCAGTGGATGGACATCTACCTCAGGTGCAAAGAGGGTGAACTAAGGGGAGCAAGCTGAAGGGTGGAGAGGGCATCTGCGTCAGTGAAGACGTCGTCCCCAAGCCTTTTACTAGCAACATGAAGTGACTGACAAGTGGAGCCAGCTTAGCCGAAGGATGGCGTACTTTTTCTTCCTGATAGTGGTGTCTGTCAGGACAGGCTGAGTTCTGCTGCAGTAACGAGTAACCTCCAACACTCCCTGGCTTAAAACTACAGAAGCCTGTTTCTTCCTCACCCTACATGTCCACATAGATCAACTCTGGCTGGAGCTCCGAGTCACCTCTAACTTGGGACCCAGTCATTTTCTGGAGACCGGCCAAGTGCTGTGCCCAAGGTGCTAGTGGCTCTCATGAGTCTGCTCCCAGCAATTAGAAGTCACACACTGGTTCCATTCCCAGGTTCCTAACCAGAACTGGTCACTTGGCCCCACCAACTTCAAGGGGGTCAGGAAGAGTGGCTGGGTCATTTGCCCAGGGACATTGAGCCAGAAATACACCAGAGACTGCCCATCCCAGACTCCAAGGACTAGAAAACTTATTAACTTCCTTTTTTGTTCCAAGTCCTCTTGTTAGTCTGTTTTTATTTAAGCTGTGATTCATGAGTTTTGACCTTGCCAAGTTCAAATGCAATTGAGAGGAGAAAAGTTGTATCAACTTGACCAGTAGGTATTAGTTGGGGTGGGGGTGAGACCGGGCACATCACAAGTTACTCTTATCTGCTTAAGGATTTCGTAACATTCCTTCATTGACTTTATTGAAAACCAGGAGGATTTAGCTTCTTTTTTGATATCCTGTGATTCTATACCCTTGCTTGGGCACTCAGCAACAAACTCAGATAGAAATAAGATGTTTCAAGCCTGGTAGGTGGTGTATGCTGGTAATCCCAGCCACTCAGGAGGCTGAGGTAGGAGGATGGCCTAGGAGTTCAAGAATAGTCCAGGCCACACAGTGATACCCCATCTCAAAAGAAGAAAAGACAAAAAGGAAATAGAATGTCTCAAGTCCTTTGGAAACATCTATTGCATAATCATAGATTCTATATTCTGAGAGCCCCAATAGGCACAGAATTTTTCTTAGGCATTAGACAATTGTCTCATGATATCTTTACACATGAAATATTATTTCCCTTTTACAAAGGAGAAAACCAGGGCTCAGAGAGGTTAAGTTACTTGCCCAAAGTCACATGGCCAAAGAGCCCCATGTTATATTCTGCTCCTATATTGTTAGAAAACAAGATGTTCACTGCAAATAATTCTACTCTGTCCTCTGAGGATGACAGGACCCCCTGAAGAGGGGAGAGAGAGGGCATCTCTTCTAAAACACGTGATGTTCCAGAATTCTCCTGGGTCCAGAGGCACTACCACCCCCAGTTTGGCAAGAAGAAGGAGGAAGCTCTTGGGTTCCAGCCATTGAACTTTGCTGGCAGCTCAGGAAATCCAGCCTGGCACTCGATCTTGTCTCAAGTTTCTGCAGTTGAATCATGATGAATCAGGAAAGCACATGACTGAGCTGAAATCAAGGGGGTTCTGGTGGTCCCAGAGCTCCGCCTCCCACAGGCAGGAGCAGCTGGGCATGTGAGCACAGAGCGCACACACACACACACACACACACACACACACACACACACACTCACACTCCCCCATCCCCCAGGACCTTGTTGTTCAGCCTGAAGTTGGGAATTCCCAGCCGTTCATTTCTGTTTTTCTGCCTGGCCTCACCCTTTTGGGGAATGTACAGAGGACAGAGCAGATCAAAGAGGAACTAACAGAAAGGGCAGGAGGCCAAGGGCAGCTACCAAGGGACCTGAGGGCCCAGGTTGTGGGGGGTGATTCTGGGCAGAACAGGGGCTGCAGCTTCCGGGGACAGTTCCCAGGTCCCCCCACTCGGGCTCCTGAGCCTGAATTCCACAGGGTTCTACTTTTAAGAATCGGCCAGTGGCACGTTTAGAAACAGCGCTTAAGATTCAAATTCTGGAAAAAGACTTTGAGTCGTACCCAGCTCAGCTGCTTAAAAGCTGTGTGACCTTGAGGGAGTCCCACATCCTTGGGCACATAGATAACTTAGTACACTGCCTGGCACCTGGCCCAGTCAGTTGGTGACAGCCATTGTTATTGCACATGACATTATACAACAACAGCCCCATCCCGACGAGATGCAGGACCAGTGCTGGGAATCGCTTCCTGGAACTGAAAGAGAAAAGAAAACGGCACAAATACTGCCAGGTCCCTGGGGAACTGCTCTGAGCCCAAATCCAGGTCTGTCCCTCTCAGCCTCTTCCTGAGCCTGTTGGAGGGTCCCACGTCACCTAAAGGGGAGAGTCCCAGCCCTGCCATGCGGAAACTGGCCTCTGCCTCTGGAGGAGGGGCAGCGAATACAGAATCCTGCAGAAACTGCAAACCCAGCCTCCACGGGGCTTGGTAGGTAGTAAGATGTGGAGGTCAGTGGACGTCAGGGCCAAGAAATGGGGTGCCTCTCGTGGTCTGGCTTTCCTTGATTTACCTACTTTTTTGAGGGGAGGGGTATCGGGGATTGAACTCAGGAGCACTTGACCACACCCCAGCCCTATTTTGTATTTTGTTTAGAGACAGGGTCTCACTGAGTTGCTTATCACCTCACTTTTCCTGAGGCTGGCTTTGAACTCACCATCCTCCTGTCTCAGCCTCCCCAGTCGCTGGGATCACAGGCATGAGCTACCACACCCGGCTGACCCACCTACTTTTGATGGAGACTTGGGTTCAGAGAAAATCATCTTATAAGAACCACAAGAGAAAAGAGACGGTCAGTGGTAACTGAAGCACCCGAGGAGAGGGGGTGGTCTCACCTGGCCTGCCCCACCTGCGGCTCCTGCCCACTGCCCCTCTGGGGGACTGTGGGCCTGTGAGGCCAGATCTTCTATGACACTGAGAAGACATAGGAAAGGAGTCCCATCCCTGTGTGCATTTCTGATTTTTAAATGTGGCCTCTGGTTTTTAAAAATACCATGAGGCATTGAATCAAAAATGTTATTAATGGTGGGATGTCCTGATATCTAATTAACTAATGAAGCTATGATGAGCCGTTGATTGCAAAGCAAATTCCAATTCCCAACCTGTCACCGTGGGAAAAACGTGCTTCTTAGAATCCATGAAATACTGTCTGTCAACAGGCTGGACTTGACCTGGGGCAGCTGAGGGGCCACACTTGGGTCACATCCGTGGACTCCTAGGTCCTTTGAGATGTTTTAACCCTCATTCATCTTTGTTTTAATCAGGAACGAACCAAGGTAGTAAAGGGGAAAACGTGGCCCAGTTTGCTTCATGAGTCACCGGGTCACTGACGGTGATAACAGGGTCCCTGGGGTGGTGGCTCAGGGGGCCTGGGGTAGGGATTCATAGAGGATTCTGAGTCTTACCAGACAGAAGACATCTCACATCCTTTTTTTTTAATGTGGTGCTGGGGATCAAACCCAGTGCCTCATGCATGCTAGGCAAGCGCTCCACCACCGAGTCACAACCCCAGCCCTCACATCCACTTTTAAACAGGCCCAGAGAGGTAAAGACGCAGGCCCAGCATCACACAGCTGGCAGAATAGACCCAGCCAGAGCCCAGCCCTCCTAAGCTGCATCCCCAGCACCCCTTCTCCCTCCTGCTAGTTGTAAAAGTTCCCGTCCCCTGCTCCAGGTAGGCTGGAAATGGCTTCCCAGGGCCCTTACAGGGCGAGGCCCATCCCTGTTCCACCCCCCTGGGGCCTGCCCCAGAGAAACCACCCTTATTTGATTCACAAGACTTTTGAGTTTTATTAATAAAATACAAAATGGCACAGACATTGGTAATGAGGGTCGAAAAGCAAAAATCAACTCCTTCAAGATCCTTCCCAGAGTGTTTCTGTGCATGTCCTGCCAAGGGGACCTCGTCCAGCAGCCTTCTTACACGGGAGGGATGTCCCAACAAGAAGCCAGCACAGAGTGCGCCCCACCCTGCCCTCTGAGCCCTCAGGAGTCCCCACCTGAGGGTGAGGCCCACCTGAGGGTGAGGCCCACTGGGCCAGGCTCCTGACAGCCCGGGGAAGGGCAGGCGGCCCAGCTGGGTTGACTTCCTCTGAGCAGCCACCAGGTGCAGCCCAGCCCTGCAGAGGCTCCTCAGTAGAGAGCAAAGGTCAGTCCTGGGGACAGCCAGAGGGAGGGGTGAGCTGCCACAGGAGCCCTAGAGGCCCAGGTCTGCAGGTCCAGCCGGACAGCTCACCTCCAGGCCTGCAGGATCTCCAGCAGCCCAAAAGGGAACCCAGGACTTTGTGGTCACAGTCACCCTCCCTCGCCCCTCTCCCCCAGGGCAGAGTCCCTTCCAGAGCTAAACACAGGAGCCCTGAGGTCCTCACGGGAATTCCTGGCCCTGCCTGCAGCGGAGCCAGGTGAGGGACAGCGCCCAGGGAGCTGGGCTCTCCAGGAGAGAGGGAGGCGGGAGGGAGCCCGGGAGTGTGCGCCACAGGGAGCCACCCTGCACACGCCCTCAGGTCACACCCAGAGAACGCTCCGGACTTTCCCTGGCACCTTCCACAGACTGCTTGGCCCCTCTTGGGCTGGGTGGGGGCTGACATCCCCCCCAACATGCACGGGTCCTCCTGTCAGCGCAGAGCCTGGATGAGGAGGGGCTTCCTCTGCTCCCACAGGTCCCCCAGGCCAGCGCCCACTTGGGGACCCACAGCCCAGGACCTGAACTATCAAACGGCCCTTTGCAGGTCCCCCGGGAGTCAGGAGTGGCAGAGACCCTCTAAGTGCTCTGCGGGCGAGGCTCAGGCAGCATTGAGGGGCCGGGGAGAGGGTCTCGCAGAAGTCTGGGAGTCAGCAGGACAGCCATGGCACGGACCCCCATCCTCCCCTTCCTTTTGCTGGGTGGGCGGGCGGGAGGGTGGAGTGGACCCCAGCCACCAACTCAAAGTTCCTTCACTGCACAGAGGAGACCCAGGAGGAAAAACATCCATGCCACTAAATGACCTCAGCTCCCTCCCCACGGTGCCAGGGGCTGCTCCCAGGTCAGGTCTGGGGACACCACACGAGCCTCATGCAAGAAAGACACGGCCCCTGTTGCGGGGTGGGCTCTGTACAAGGGACAGGGAGAGATAGCACCGCAGCTGGCCGGGGTGACTGGCAAGTGCAGCAGGGCCAAGAGACACAGAGGTCTGGGGAGGGGACCGAGGGCCTGGCCTGTCACTCATCTTGAGATGGGAGGAGGGCAGTCCTCACGGGGAGGGTCAGAGGGGGCTGGGCATTCAATAAATAACTGTTCACTGGGGGCTGGGACAGTGTCCAAGGGAACCTCTAACCAGCCAGCAGCAGAGGAGGGTGCTCGGGTTTGGGTGAGTCGGAGGCCGCTCCTTCTGTCCCTCGGAGGTTGACAGTGGTCAAGGGTGGCCTCCCGGGGCCACACCTTTGGGCGCCGAGCAGCTTGCACCAGGAGATCCCGCCTCCCAGGCTCCATCATCCCAGCTCAGGCCAGGCCCTGGGGTGAGGGTGGGAATGAGGATGGGGGTCCCCAGGCAGCTGTCTGAATGAAACCACGGGACACGGGCAGGTGGCCAGCTCACACCGGCACCAGGACATAGGAGTTACTGCCACAGCTCCGGGGCACATAGCGAAGGCCTTCCACCATCTCTCCCGCCATCTTGCGGGGGCAGCCCTGGAGGCTTTGGTAGGCGAACATGGCCACCCCCAGGCAGAAGAGGAGGCCGAGGAAGGCCAGCAGCCCCACTGCCTGCCTTCGGGTGGCTTCCTGGGGGCCAAGGTCAGGAGTGTTAGGAGCAGCCTTATTACTCAAACTCTGGGGATTACTGGTGGTATGGATGGGCTCCTTGGTTTTGGGGGCCCAGCTGCCTGATGCCACTGGCTCCTGACTAGGGGTCCCTTCGGAAGAGACAGGGACCACAGGAGCATGGGTCATCTCTCCAGGCCCCGAGTCCTGGGATGCACCCCTGGGCGTTGAAACAGGACTCATCTCCTCAGGCCCTGGAGAGGCCTCTGGACTAGGGGTCTGTCCCTTGCCCGATGTGGGCTGGCCTTTAGACACGGTGGTCTCCTCGAGGGCTGGGTATGACATGTCGGGGGTCTGGGTGGAGGGGGGCTCCGTGGAGAGGACCTGGGTGGAGTGGGTCTCAGAGTGGGCCTTTATGACCCGGAGGCCAGGCCCAGTTTGGCTCTGCTGGGCAACAGAGGTGGAGGCCACAGCTGTCCCTGGCCCAGCGGGAGGCCTATCCTCTGGAGCCTTTGACGTCGGGGTGGACCTGTACCCTGAGGAGTCCGTCGTCCCCACTGGCAGCTCTGGGGAAGTCCCCATGGACCTCTGGGCCTCCTGAGAAGACGTCGTCCCCTCCAAACTATTGCCTTCCCCTGTGGCTTCAGGCTCAGAGAATGCAGGATGGGACTGTCCCTCGGTGGTGGCTGGGGTGATCGTGGGCCCTGAGCCAATTTGCTTCTCAAACGTGCCGCCATTTTGAGTCTGAGCCGGGCGGTTGAGATGCTTCATTGCTTCTTGGACCCATTTCTCCTTTGGGTCGGCACAGAAATACTTGTGCCTTTTGGTCTCCAAGCTGCAAGGGAGGAAGACAGGGACCCGGTGATGCCCAGAGACCAAGAGAGCCAGGGAGGTGGGAGTGGGCGCTGCCCGGGCCCAGCAGGCCAGCAGACTCCATCCTCACGCCCCTGGACCACCAAACCTCACCGGGGCCTGGAGACAGAAATGCCCAGCAGCAGGAGCGGGGCTGACCCAGGCCCCAGAAAAATCCTGCTGGAAGACTTTCTCTTTCTAAACCAGGGAAGTCCTAGGCAAAAGGGGCCAGGTTGGTGGCCCTACTTCTTATGTTTTTTTTTTTAAAAAAATAAAAGGAAAAACTTAAAAAAAAAAAAAAAAAAAGCAAAAAACAAAGTGATGTAAAAGGAGTACCCGGAGTAGGAAGTCAGGGAACGCTGAAAATGTCACCCCCACTAATGATCCTGCCGTCACCCTGGAGGCAGGGGCTCTCCCTGGTTGGGAGGGAATGTCACCGCTATTTTTTGAACTCAGGTGTGTGATAAGGAAGCTCTGTGGTGGGGACTCTCACTCTGGAAAAGACCCCATGCCTCAGAGCCCTGTTGTTCCTCTCCCCCCATTTCATGGCCGCCACTACCCACCACTCCCCCTCCTCCTGTGTGCTCAGGCTGAAGGCCTTCTGGGAGCCCATGGGGTCCCGAGTGTCTTCCAGCTCTGCAGTTTCCTCTGAAGCTGTGTGCAGCTGGACCACCCCCCGAGTCTAAAGCATGGAGCAGCCTGGGGCTCTTGCTCCGTGCCGTGGTCTGTGTCCTTCCTACCCGGCTGGCAACCCAGATGCCAGGATCATCCCCATTTTCCAGATGAGGAAACCGAGGCTCAGATGAGCCCGGCCCTGGTGTTCTGAGAAGCCAGAGAAGTCCAGGAAACCGGGGTGATCCTCACCATGATCCCCTCCCCGCAATTCCCCTTTACCTAGAAAACAGAAATAATCATTTGGGGGCATCTGGCAGAAGTGATCTTTGACCAGCGAGCAGAGAGGTCAGGCAGGAGCATGTGCCACACCTTGAGCCTCGCAGGAGCTGCATGGCCAAGGGCAGGAAGCTCTGAACTTCCTTGAGCAGAGCCTGGACAACAGATGGCTACTGGCCATTTCCTGTCCCTGGCCTGCAGTCTGCTTGAGGCTGCTTGAGGACCCCAAAGAGAGCCCTGTGGAAGGGTCTCAGAGCTGAGCAGCTAGGCAGTTACCCACCGGGGCACGATGGGGGTGGCAGTAAGTGACCAGGATGGCCAGGGAGAGAACGGCTCAGCTTGACCCCTTCCCAAGTCCCGCAGGGCCCTGTTCCCTCATCCACCAAATGGCCATAATGATCCTTGTGGGGTCCCGGCATCCTGCCAAGCCATGAATTACATTGTCTCTCTTACCGAGGAGGAAGCCAAGGGTTGGGGTTAAGCAGTGTGACCAGGCCACCAGGCCAGTCACAGGCGAGGGCAGGACTTGCGCCAAGTCCGTCGGGGCCTAGTGTGCACTGTAGGGATGCCGCGCGTTCCTTCCCTCAAGACCCAGCGGCTTGGGGGCTGTGGACTACACGCTGCAGCCCAGGAGCAATGAGCCCTGGGTGGCTGCCGCAGGCCACAAGCCACGGCCCTGCCCCTTGGCCACCCTGGGCCATTCAGGAAGCCACTCCCCACCTTGGTCAGGTGGCCCAGATATTAAGGTCCGTGAGGTGGCCTGCAGCCCAGGAGCAAGGGGAGCATTTGCTGAGGCCTTTGGTGGGAGCCCAGGTGCGGATGGGGACCAGCGGGAGGCCCGGGACCCACGCGGGAGGGCTGCGAGGAGAGTACCTACACGACAGCGCGCCTGCCGCAGGACTCCGGGTTCTTCCAATAGCCGATGAGTAAATTCACGGGGATCGGTCGGGTCATCGTGTTGCACGTGATGTTGCATTTTGTCACACCGTGGTGCTGCCCTGTGTCAACAAGGCCTGGGTCAGCAGGACTACTCGTGGCCTCTGGCTTCCCATCCCCAGGCCAGCCCGCCTCTGCCACACCACCTAAGCCAGAAACCCGTCCCAGAGCTGGCTTCTGAGGCACTGGACTCAGCCCCTGCCTCCTGATGTCACTAGGCCTGAGTTTTATGACACATAGGGACAACTGTAGCACCCACCTGCTAAGGCTGTGGTAAGGGCTAGGGGAAGTAAATTCTTGTTTACCAAGCTCTTTTTATCTAGCCAGGTGCGGTGGTGCATGCCTGTAATCCCAGCAGCTGGAAGGCTGAGGCAGGAGGATCACAAGTTCAAAGCCAGCCTCCGCAAAAGAGAGCTGCTAAGCAACTCAGTGAGACCCTGTCTCTGAATAATATACAAACCAGGGCTGGGGATGTGGCTCAGGGGTTGAGTGCCCCTGAGTTTAATCCCTCAAAACACCCTCTCCCTCAAAAAAAAAAAAAAAACCCAAAATAAAAACTTGCTATGTGCCAGATAAAAAGAACTTTGTAATTTTTTTGAGAGGGGGGGGGTTGAAATCAGGGGCACTGGACCACTGAGCCACATCCCCAGCCCTATTTTGTATTTTATTTAGAGACAAGGTCTCGTCTTACTGGGTCACCTGGTGCCTCGCCTTGCTGAGGCTGGCTTTGAACTTAGCCTCGTGAGCTGCTGGGATTACAGGCCTGTGCCACCGTGCCCATCAGATAACATACTTTTTAAACATGCAGGTAACAGGTGCCTTCTAAGAAGGTGGGGTCTGCTGAATAGGTGCCCTTTTGTTTTATAGAATGAGTTCTAGAGAAGAAAAGAGGCATCAGGAGTCCCAAGAGCAAGAAGAGGAAGGGGGAGAGAAGGAACTAGAAGGGCAGGCATGGCAGGGGTGCAGATGGGGCGTGGCAAGAGGAACCAGAGTGGAACTCCAGGAGCCGTGGGGTAACTCAACCCAGTCATCTGATAGAAACATTGAAATTGTCTGCACTGCATTCTGCCTTTCCCACTCTTCTAAAATCTCCAGCAGAATTTTGTCTGTTTGGTAGAAGCGCAGGGAAAATGGGTGTCAAAATGGGGAAGAGCTTGAGTCTCAGATCGGGGTCAAGGTTATGTCCAGCAGCAGCAAAGACCCCGGAGAGTTTTGCAAACATCTAGAACCTTCCAGGGCAGTGGAGTGGAGAGACAGGCCTGATATGAGCTAGCTCTTCAGGGCTGGTCCCTCGGTTCCACCAAAACACGGCCTGCTCATGCACTTACACACAGTGGACGCGCGCGTGCGCACACCACACACACACACACACACACACACACACACACACACACACACACACTCTCTCTTCCTAGAATCTGCTGCCTCCTCGCCCCGTCACTCCCCTTAGCCTTGGCCCAGGCCACCTGCGGGAGGGTAGGCAGAGCCTGCAGCTCTGGGCCGGGTCACCAAAGGGCAGCACTTCCAGGAACAGCCCCTTCCTGGGACGGACAGGAGGGGCTGCTCTACTCTGCAAGGAGACAGGATGTGAAAGTGACCGTGCGGAGTTGTCACTCTCCTTTTTCCCCAGTGGGACCTCAGAATGACTCAGCAGCAGCCTCTGAGGGTCTCTTGAGGGGAGCAGGCAGAAGCCCCTGAACTGGTGTGGCAGGTGTCGTCCTGGGGAAGCCCCAGAAAAACCGTGTCCCTGAGTGACACAAGACAAGCAGGGCCGCAGGTGGGAGGGGAGCCCCCTCATCCAGGATGGGGAAGCCACCGAGGCCTCCATCTAGGAAAAGCCACACAGACACTCTGCCCCAAAGCCCCCACCCTCCGCCACGGGCCGGCAGGACATTCGGTCCCACCAGGATGGCTGGGTTACTAACCTGGGGGAGGCCTCTCACTTCCGGGGGCTGAAGTTTCTACAAATAGAGATAATGCCACCAGTCACCCAGCCAGCCCCCTACTAACTGTCCACTGAGTATCAGGACAGCAGGGAGCTTGTCTGTCTTGGTGTCACAGTTTTTCGCAGCATCAAGCCCAAGGTGGGAACTCAATATTAATATTCACAGGATGAACTGATGTCTCCATCTACCTATCCCTCTTTTATGTTCCCACCTACTATCCACTCATCCCTCCCCCCTTCCACTCTGCCACCCACTCATCCCTCCCTCACCCACCCACCCATCTATCCACCCACCCACCCATCTATCCACCCACCCTCTATCTTCCCTCTCCTGTCAATCTCCTGCTCAGCCCCACCCACCTATCTACCTGCCACTCATTCCCCATTCATCCAACTGCCCGCCCCCCACTCACCCATCTACCACCTGTCCATGCTCAGCTTCCCTTCATCTCACCCTCCCACCTGCTTTCTACAGTCCATCCTCCTCCCCAGCCATTCACCCTTCCTTCCTCCATCCCTCCATCCTCCCTCCCCCATCCGGAGGCAGCCGACACTGGCTCCAATTTTTTGAGGATATACAAATTTTGGGGGGTCCTGTTCTCCTGAACCCTGGTAGGCTCTTTCCCCACAGATGCTGGGACTGGAGACAGCACCTCAGTTCCAATAAATGGAACTGGCACCAAATCCCCATAGGTACCCAGTTAACCACAAAGTTTGGTTCCTTCCCCTCCCCAGACCCTGTGCTGGGTGCTAGGAGGCACGGGGAGGGAGGGTAAACAAGGCCGGTCTCATCCTCAGAAGGCTGCTAGGCTGATGGACAGGTGAACACACACAAGAAAACAAAAACAGTTGGGTTTGTGTGTGTGTGTGTTGTTGTTGTGGAGCACCTACTGTGTGTCAGACCCTATATGCAGCACATACACATCTGCACTCATTAATTCCTAACGTCCCTGCAAAGGAATATTCTATCCCCGTTTTCCAGATGCAGAAGCTGAGAACCAGAGGTTAGACCACTTGCCCAAGGCCACACAGCTGCTCAGTGGGGAGCTGATTTTCCACTCAGCCCCCAGACATCCCAGGTTGCCATGGGCGCCTGGTAGAAACACCATGTTCCAGAACATACCACAGACATACTGGGGTTGACAGGAAGGAGAGACCACTTCCAACTGCAGGAGATCAGGGAGGTTCCCTGAAAGAATAATTCTTTAGGCTGGCCCTCCAGGCCTGCAAAGAGGCCTCAGAGGCGGCACGGTGTGGGTCCCTGGGCAAGGTGCTGAAGACAGGGCATGGGCCCTGGCTCAGCTGTGTGGCCTCCGTGGGTCTCTCAGAGCCTCAGTTTCCTTCTCTGTAAAATGGATGTGATAACCACAGCTTCACAGGCAGGGTGTGAGCATGAGCAATTTTTTTAAGGTCTTCAGCATTCTGCCATTGGAGCAGGGTCTCTCAACAGCGACCCTACTGATATTTGGGAGCAGATGATTCTTTGTTGAGGAGGACTACCCCCGTGAGCTTAGGATGTCTCAGCACCCCTGGTCTCTGCCCACTAAACCTCAGTAGCACCCTGAACCACAAACACTGGGACCTTTGGAACAACCAAAAGTGTCTCCAAGTTGGGCACAGCCGCGCACACCCAGAGACTTAGGAGGCAGAGCAGGAGGATCAAGTTCGAGGCCACCCTCAGCAACTTAGTGAGACCCTGTCTCAAAACAGAAAATAAAAACATAAAAAGGTCGAAGGGTGTGACTCAGCAATAGAGCTCCCCTGGGTTCAATCTCCAGTAGCAAAAAGAAAAAAAAAGTCTCCAGAAATTGCCAAATGTCCCTCCATCTCAGGTGCAAAACCATGATGAAGGACCACTGCTCTGGCCCACTCCCCTATGGCTCTTCCTCAGAACCCCAAATGCGCTGCTCAGGGACAGTTCCCTGTTCACAGGGTGACTCTAGTTAACATGTCAACACCTTCTTCTCTCCTCTATTTTTTTTTTTTTAATCACAGTGTTTTTAATTTTTTTTAACCTTTCATTTTGCATATCGTCTGTCCGGTCCACTTACATTCCAGCACACTGGGGCTGGGACTTTTGACCCTTTCATTCACTGATGTGGTCCCAGCATCTAGAACCGTGCTCGTCACCTAACCCGCATCCAATCCACATTTGTGCAATAAAGGGCAGAAATGCCAAAAGAAGTGCTTCGTACGTGGCATAGAAAAACCTGAACCAGCAGAGAACTAGAGGAATTTTTATTTAAGTTTGACAGGGACCTGGATCTGACACTCTGAATTTACCCTCCCCTGCCCACCCCCTCTACCCCCAACCGCTAAGCAGGGGGGCAGGACTATAGCTGCTTAAAACAGATTTTTTTCTCCTCTTTCTTGTCGGGACTTGAGTGGGAGTGAATGCGTCAGTGCTTGGTGAGAAAAATCCTCTGCTCCGACTTGCATCTGCAGGTTTGTTATATAAAGCGCAGAAGCTCCCCGCCTGACAGCCCTGCAAACCCACATTTGGGAACTGACGCAGCTGCCCTGCACCAGCCAGGCAGCAACCATGAATCCTGAGTCCCTTCCTGGGGGACCTCCAGGGTGGGCTGGGTTGAATGCCCAGTTTTATAGGAGAGGCTCAGAAAGGCTGAAAGGATGCCCAGCCATGTCAGTGACCAGATCAGGGCAGGAATCGGCTGGTCTTTAAGCCTCAGGACCCCCTGGGGTTCTCTTTCTATCCTAGCATAGAATTACCTACATCAGTTGAGTAAAAGTAATCCTCCTCCCTCTCCAAAATATCCTCATAGATACTGCAGCCTCGTTACCAAGGAGGCAATAGCTATTTTTAAAGGTGCAGTGGATAAGACCAGAGAAGAACAGACCCTACTCAGGGACACACAGCAAAGTGATAGCCGAGGAACTTCTTCCTGACTCCTCACCTTCCAATGCTCAATGTCTTCAAACACCTCAGACTTCCAGGCCTGGCTCAGATAGCAGGAAGCCGCAGCTGTAGGCTGCCACCACCCCCACCTACCTGCCCACGCACCCGCCTGTCCCCTGTCCCACTGTGGGGTTTGCTCCATGGAGATATTCTGGACCCGGGCCACTGGTTCTCACTCTCGTGTTCTCTCTCATTCTTCCTAAGGCAGAGTCTCACCTTCTCTGAGCATTAACCTGCCAGGAGGCTGGGGGGCCAACCTGGGGACAGGTGGCCCATGGAGGTGGTGCGCGCAGAGCTCCTGCATCAAGTCCCATAGGTCTTGGCCTCTGCAGTCCCCCTTGCTGCATCCTCAGGCCAGTTTTCAAACCTCTCTGGGCCTCTGTCTTACCCACATAGGTAGGAGGGCTACACTTGGTCCTACCAGGTCCTGGGCTCCAGAAAGCAAGGGACTGGAGGTGACAGCGTAATCCAAGCTGTGCTTGGAGGAGGAGGCCATCTGGAGGGGGTCAACCCTGCTACAGACCCCTAGAGCAACCAGCCCATCGGTGAGCAGCAGTGACCTTGACCTTCACTGGCCCTGGTTCCTTTACTCCTGGGGCCCTTGACATTGGGGCAGGAGCCAGCCCTACCTGCACCCTGGTCTGGGACCAGACTGCAGGTGACACTTTAAACCTAAGTGGGAAAACCCAGTCCACTGTCAGCCAGGGCCCCCCACCTGCACCACAGGGGCCCCCACCCTCCTGGCATAGCCACACCTGGAACCCTTGTGCCACCCGCACTCCTGTAGGCAGCGACGTTGCTCGTTGCTCACAGGGCCAGGCAGGGACAGTGGCTAGAGGGTGGAAATCTGTCCCCCAGGAGGAGCAGCCCTGCATCCCGGCCAGGGAGGTGCCCAGCCCCCTCCCGCGCATCCCCTGGGCCTCCCTAGGCAGCGGCCAGGGGTCCTGGGGTCAAGTCCTGGCGCCAAACAGGGGCTGGCTCCCCCGCCCGCTGGCGAGGCCAGGCCCCACTCACCGGCCACTAGGATGGTCAGATGGCAGAGTGTGGCCAGGCTCAGCAGCCAGGCGAGAGGCGTCGGAGCCATGGCGGAGGCTGGCGAGGATCTGGGCCCGCTGGCAGGCGGCTGCGTCCACGCGTTGGAGGAGCTCAGTGCTGTCCCTTCGCCGCTGGAGCTCGGTCGCTTTTTATAATGGGGCTCGGCTGCCTCCGCCCCCAGCCCCCGCAGGCGGCGGTGGGAGGGGAGAGGAAGGAGCCGGGGCTGGATTCCTCCGAGGTTGCCAGGGAACAGGCGGCCAGGGGCGGCGGCAGGGTCCTGGCTGCTGCTGTCCTCCTGTCCTCCTGTGCTCCTGTCCTCCTGTCCTGGCACCGAGCGACTGGACCCGGCCTGCCAGGCTCAAAGGGCGTGTCTCCTCCCCTGCGCACAGGCCACCTCCCCTGGGAGGTAGCACAGGTCCTTGTCCTCCTTCCTAACTGGACAGTCAGTGAAAGGATCGCAGGACAGGCAAATAGAGAGCCCCGCAGCCCACCTAGATGTCCCGAGCTCCCTTTTGGCCTGGGAGATATCCCTCCCACACTGTGATGGGCCCCCAACCTCAAAACCCAAGCCCCAAACTCTGAGCTCTGGCAACCTGGCTCATCAGTCATCTCCTGAGCTCAGCACCAGACCTGCAAACAGCAGGCGCTCCATGCTGTGTTTGCTGAATGAATGACCCAGTCCCACTTCAAATGGCCAGATGAGGAGGCTGAGGTCCAGAGAAGCGGCAGAAACATCCAGGTCTACAAAACATCAGGGTGGAGAACCCACCCCCGCACCCGCGGCTGCCAGGGAGAAGAGGGGGCTCGAGGTGCAGGGGCAGCCTGGGCCAAAGAAGAGGACTCTGGCCTCCCTGCCTCCTGCTCCTCAGCCTCCTTTCTTGCTTTGTATCCACGCCCGTCTCCTGCTCTATCCCCTGCCAGTCTGTGGAAATGCCCTGCCAACCCTGCCTGGTGACTCTTTAATTCTGGAGAGGTCCTGGAGAGGTCCTGCCTTCTTTGGGACTTCTAGTCTTGGTCTTGGAGTAAGTCTGGTTAGTCTCCTGGGGGCTGGACTTCCCGGCTCTAGACTTGTAGGTGTCCTCTCCATGAAACTGGCAGGACCAGCAGGCAGGGGATTGAGGCCCACCTCAGTGCAGCCTTCCCTGGAGGCAGGGCAGTAGGAGCCTGGCCCAGCCTCAGGCCGCAGGGGATTGTGTGGAGCTGGTTCTCTCTGGGCAGACAGCCAGAGGGAAAGCCAGTTTGACTAGGAGCCAGTGTCCCAGGCTGGTACAGGTTGGGCTGGGCAGAGTGACCATGGCTCACTCCGTGGCCAGGGAGACTCGCTCTGTCTTCAGTCACCTCCATCCAGGCACAGATGGACACTCTGGGGTGTGAGGCAGAGAGGCTGGACACTCCTTAATTGGGGGAGCCCCCTTGGTAGAGGTCAAATGGCAACTGGGGCCCAGAGAACCTGCCCCAGGCCTTGCAGATAAGAGATCCAGGAACTTCCCCTTCGCACCTTCCAACTCCTCATTTTATAGCTGGAGAAACTGGTCCCAGAGAGGGTGATAAAAACGGAAATGCTCTGCCATGTGAGAGCAGGAAGTGGGAGGAGGGGGAGGAATGGGGAGAAGGAGGAGAAAGCAGAAGGAGAAGGTGGTGAGGAAGGTGGAAGGAAGTGAGGGAGGAAAGAGAAGGGGAGGCATCCGACCTCATAAAGGACCAGGAATAGAGGCCCTTGTTCCTCTGGCCCCAGAGTAGGCCCCAGGCTGCAGGGGTGGGTAGCCCAGTGATACAGCACTTGCAGGTCCTGCAGGGCCCTTGGTTTGATCCCCAGCACTGGAGAGAAGGAGTGGTTACAGAGTGAGGGCTTTGGGATTAGCTGCTGGGGCCCGGGCGCTATTTCTGTGTGATGTCTGCAGCACCCTGCCCTGTTCAGACAAATCACATGTACTCTAAGCCAGCCACTTTTTTGGGGGGGGGCGGGTACTGGGGATTGAACTCAAGGGCAGTCGACCACTGAGCCCCATCCCCAGCCCTATTTTGTATTTTATTTAGAGACAGGGTCTCATTGAGTTGCTTAGCACTTCACCATTGCTGAGGCTGGCTTTGAACTTGAAATACTGTCTCAGCCTCCCCAGCCGCTGGGATGACAGGTGTGTGCCACCACACTTGGCTTCTAGGCACTATTTTAAGAGCTTTCCCTGAGACTGGGGTGTTGCTCAGTGGTACAGTGCTTGCCAGCATGCATGGGGCCTAGGTCTGAGGCCCAGCACCAGAATCACTGTTTTTATGTGATCATCCCAACAAACCCAAAGTATAAGCAAAAACATGGCTCTCAGAGTCCGTTTTGTGGAAGGGAAACTGAGGCATGTGTTGAAGGTAAGACACTTCCCAAAGATCATCAGTAGGAAGTGGAGGAGTCTGGGTTTGCCCCAGCTGGCTGGCTCCAGGGTGTGGGCTCCAAACCTCAAGGTTGCCCCACCTGCCTCCGGCCCCACTGTGAGGGCCACGTGGGTTTAGATCCCTAAGGTGCAGAGACACAGAACTGCAGGAGCTGTTAGTGTTTGCTGTTAGTGTGGGGAACTGTCATGGGATGGGGACCCAGAGATAAAAACACTGAAGTCCTTGTCCCCAAGGGCTCAGCCCAGTGGGAGGAAGAAGGCCTCGGGAGCACTAAGGCTGTGGGGCTAGGCCAGGGGAACAAGAAAGGAGAGAGGGGGGGGGGATGTTTCAATCCAAAACTGAGCAGGGGTTAAGCTTTATCCAATCAACATCTGGTTTGGAAAATTTCAAACAATGCACAGGAAGGAATGGCACAAAGCACTTTTGTATTTCCACCACTGAGACTCAATGGTGAGGTTCTTCCATATCTGCTTCATCTTTATTTATTTATTTTATTTTTTTGGCTAAATTATTGCAGAGTGGACGGGATGACTGCTCCAAAATATGTCAGCTCGCATCTCCTAGAACAAAAGCACAGCATGATGTTATTATTCCGCCTCACATTAACAATGACTTGTGGATGTCATCTTACACCCAGTTCAAATTCCAATTTCTCCAGTTACTACTAGAATGGTTTTAGAGGTTTTTTTTTTTTTTTTCCCCTTTTCTTTTTGGATTGGTGATTGAATCCAAGGGTACTTTACCAATGAGCTATATTCCCAGTTTTATTTACTCTATTTATTTTTAAATTTTAAGACCAGGTTTTGCTAAATTGCTAAGGCTGGCCTTGAATTTTTAATCCTCCTGTCCCAGCCTCCTCAGGTTGCTAGGATTACAGATAGGTGCCAGCATGAGGGCTGGAAAGTATATTTTATACCTTCTTCTCCTTCCCTCCTTCATCTTCCCTTTCTCCCTTCCGTCCTTCCCTTCTTGCTTTTATTTTTTGAATGAGGATCCAGTTGAGATTCATGTGTTACATATGATTATTTCTTTTTAGATCACCTGCACGTTTTTATGATCTTTTTATTGTTATTGTTATTCTTTTGGTACTGGGGATTGAATCCAGGGGCGCTCAAGGACTGAGCAGCATCCCAGCCCTTTTTATATTTTGAGACAGGGTCTCACTAAATTCCTTAGGGCCTCCCTAAGGATCCTTTAGGATCATTTGAACTTGCCATCCTCCTGCCTCAGCCTCCAGAGCCACTGGGATTATAGGTGTTGACCTTTTGAAGAGTCAAGACCACTTTTTTAAAAAAAATGTTCTCATTCTTAATTCATCTGGTTATTTCCCGTGAGTCATCTAATGTGTTCCTTTATCCTATGCATTTCCTGTAAACTAGAAGTCAGATCTGCAGGCTGATCAGGCACCGGAGACATGGTCTTGCCAACAATCTACAGGGAGTAATGCGGCGCACTCCGCATGGTGCCCCCAGGGGGCGCCCGCGAGCAGGTGGCGCCGCTGTTCTGGGGCTCCCCGAGGTTGAGGGGTGGCTGGGGCCGGTGGGGGAGGAGGATTCCCCTGCGAGTTGCAAGCGAGCTGGGGCCTGGAGTGCGGTGCGCACAGAGGCAGGATCTTGACAGAGAGAAAATCCTAACCGAGGTGGACCCATTGGGGGCCGGGGAGTAACCGGACACCACTGGCTCCCTGAAGGGAGTTGTGGGGGGCCCGCGGCTGCCCCAGACTGCGGAGGGTCTTGGAGCTGAGAGAAGGGGGGCTGGGAAGGCTTCCAGCTGAGGGTAACCAGGGTAACAACTGGGCAGGTGGACGTCCCTAGGCTGCCTCAGAGGGCTTCCTCTGGAGCAGGCGGGGGTGTTGGGGGCGGAGGTGTCCCTGCGCACACACATCGCCAGGCTGCAGGTGGTTGGGACCCCATCTGGGTGCCCCAGAGAGCTGGTGCTGTGACTGTGACACAGGAGGGGGTCCCCAGCCCCGAAGCAGACTGTGGAGAGGAGGGTGGGGGACCCGGGGTACTCCTGCAGGGCCCAAGGAGAAAGAAGGCTGGGGCCCCCCACCATCTCCAGGGGCTGGGAGAGCGCATCCAAACCATCCTAACCATTGTAAGTGTGCCCTTTGGTGGCAGCGAGTGGCTTCACACTGTTGCACTACTACCTCCACAAGTCACCTCCAGACGTTTTCACCTTTACAAACCAAGACTCTAACATACTAAACATCGACTCCCATGCTCACCTCCCCCACTCACCGCTGTCCCAGGTTGCCACCGGTCTACCTTCTGCCTCTGGGATCTTGACTACTCTAAAAACCCCCCTTCAAAAGAACACGTGTCATTTTGTGACTGGCTTATTTCACTTAATATAATGTCCTCCAGGTTCATCCAGGTGTCACATGTATCAGACTTCCCTCCTTTGGGGGTCAAGTGGTATTCCATTGGATGGATACATCCTGTGTTTATTGGCTCATGTGCTGATGGACACTTGGCTGTTTACACTTTTGGACTATTACCAAGGGTGCTGCAAATGAACGGAATGTTCACTTATCTCTTTGACACTCTGCTCTCTTTTTCTTTTTTCTTTTTTTTCTTTTTTTTTTTTTTTTGTAGACTACCCAGAAGTGCAATTGCTGGATCATATAATTCTATTTAATTTTTTTTTAAAAGAACTGCAGCTGCAACATTTTCTATTTCCCACCACCAGCATGAAAGAGTGCCAATTTCTCAACACCTTCCCCAACACTTGTTCCTGTCTGGGTCTTTCATTTGTTTTTGCAGTGCTGGGGTTCACCTAGGACCTCAGGCGTGATAGGCAAGTCCTTGACGACTGAGCTACATCCCCAGCCCTTGGTGATTTTGAAAGGCTGGTCTCAAACTTTGGAACCCTCCTGCCTCAGCCTCCACAGTAGCTTTTTTGTTGGTTGGTTTGATAGTAGCCATCCTGATGGGTATGTCATTGTGGTTGGATTTGTATTTCCCCAGTGATTGGTGACATTGAGTATCTTTCATGTTTTTGTTTGTTTTGGTCTTGGGGATTGAACTCAGGGGCAGTCGACCACGGAGCCCCATCCCCATCCCCATTTTGTATTTTATTTAGAGACAGGGCCTCACTGAGTTGCTGAGTATCTTCTTTGGAGAAAGGTCCATTCAAATCCCCCACTTTGTCACTGGGCTCTCCTTGCCTTCCTGTCTCATTGGATTCTGACAGTCACATGAACTGACATAGAATTTTCTGTCCCTTGTTCACAAGACAGACTAAGGCTCAGAGGGGCACAGCACCTTACTCCAGCTGCCCAGCCAGGGAGAGTTCCTATATTTGTCAGAATCCACAATATGTACCCTTCCAGATGCTTCTTTCTGGCAAGTGCTCTGGGTGTCTGGGGCTGCTGCCCTGGAAATTGCATTGTGAGAGGCAGATATGGGGACAAAGGACACTTGTGGCCAGATGTCCACATAACCGCTGCTTATGCTCGGGACATAATGAAGGCATCCAAGGGCAGAAGGCTTCTTTGTTGTCTCAGGAGAGTGAATGAGCTGTATCCCGAGCCCCAGGGAAGGGCCAGGTCCATGGACAGCCGAGGACCCCCAAGGAGTCCAGCACCCGGTGAGCCCCGGACCCGCTTCCTCCTCCTCCTGGACACACAGCTGGCCGTTTCCCAGCATCCCTTGCGGTCAGGAAGGCCAAGGCTGGGTGGTTGAATGACTGTGCTGCTTCAGTCTCTCGACTTGGGGACTAAATAAATGGCCTCTTCAAATCCTCCGAACAGCGGGTCCCAGTGTGGGCTGGGGGGTGGGGCTCTGGGGAAATGTCTGGGCCTCCTTGTTGGCCCCTGAGTGCTGCCCCTCAGCCCTGTTTCCCCTCCCTGGGGACCTTGGCAAGTCCTCTCATATCTCAGTGTCAAGGCTTCCTAGGGGGAGAGAAGAGGGGGACTCCGTGCACCATCTTTCGGGAACAGCAAACACCAAAAGCCACAGCAAACACTATTTAAGAGGATTTATTTTCCAGAAAAGTCTGGGCAGCAGAGGGGGTGGGCAGCAAGGAAGGGGACCCCAGGGCAGGTGAGGGCTCTGCTCACAGGCAGCAGGCAGGTGAGCAGGGCCTGTGGCAGGCGGATGACCCCGGGCTCCGGGAAGGACAGAGGCCCTGAGAGACGCAGCAACGCGGCTGGCAAACCGTCCCTCCCTGCACACTGACCCTGAGCCCTTCACAGCCCCCTGAGGCGGCTCTTCTCCTCCTCCCTCCTCAGGTGAGGCCTAGAGAGGGGCACCCATCTCCTCAGGGGTCACACAGTTCCAATCACCCACTGAGTCCCTCCAAAAGGACGCCCCCCACCTGGGACACTGCTGTCCCCAGGGAGGCACAGGTAAGTCCCGAGTCCCAGTTCTTAGCCTGACCCCAACCACCTGCAGGCGGACTCCTTCACGGCACTGTAAACCCCCCCACAGCTGCCCCACCACGCCAGCCGCCTCGCAGGCCAGGACCTTGTCCCCTCCCACCCAATTCCTGAAATCCCCCTATTCTTTCATTTCCTCTTAAGTCGTTACATTCTTTTCACATATAAATAACTGGAGCTTATAATACCAAGTCAGGTAGTCGTTGTCACCACAGCATGAATTCGGTTATCAGCTATTTAGGGAAGGAGGAGGGGGGTGGCGTGGGGTGGAGCTCGGGCCTGAGTGCTGGATGTCAGAGGGCCACCAAGGCTGAGGGAAGAAAAAGAGCAAGAAGCCCAAGCCGCGCTGGGCAGGCACCTCAGCGGCAGAGCGCTTGCCTAGTTCAATCCCCAGAGCCAAAAAAAAAAAAGAAAAAATAATTAAAATTAAAACTAAGAATTTTTTTTAAAAAAAAGACCCAGTAGATAGCAAAAATTTGGTGCGGGGGGATGAATTTGGGCAAATTTGGGAATTCACATTTGACACAGCTGTCCCCTTTCTAGTGACCTGAGTCTGCGTTGAAGGATTACATCCTTTTGGTGAAAGATGGGGGGACATTATTCTTGTTGATTCAGCCCGTGGCCCCTGCTACTCTTGGATTCAGGCCCAGGGCCTGGAGGCCAGCAGACAGAGCGACACAGATGGGGACCTTGGCCTAACCAGGAGGGCCGGACAGCAGGCAGCCCCAGATCCCGAGCAGACTGAGGTTGAGTCTGTTGGGGGACCAGGAAAGTCACAGAATGAAACTCCATCGTGGCCTGCCGAGGCAAGCAAGGCCTCAGAGGGACATGCCCAGAGGTACAAATGAAGGGCTGGGACGGGAGGCGGGAGACTGCAGCTCAGTGTGCAGGAGGGGAGGGGACGAGGCCGGAGGGGACCAGCAGACCTGGAGGCCGGGAGCAGGTCCAGGAGCTTGGAAGCCATGAGGAGCCAGGGCAGAGACTGCCCCAGGGCAGGAGAGGTGACCAGGAGGCCTGGCTGAGGGGACAGCTGCCGGGACGGAGCTCAGGGAATGCGGAGTCGCTGGCACAGCCTTCTGTTTGGCAGCTGCCATGATGGCGGAGAGGGAGGGCCGGCGGAGCCTTCTGGAAAGCCAAGGCCGAGGTCATCCGGGACCTTCTCACTCCTGTAACTTCTGAATGATCCTCTTCACCCAGGGCAGTTTGGGGTTGGCACAGATCTCCCTGTCCCTGAGGGTTTGCAAGCTGGAGGGAGGAGATGCCAGCATTAGCATCCAGCACACACACCCCAGGACCTTAGCATTTATGGCCCACCTACTGTATGCAAACCTCATTTCTCAAGCAGAAGAAGAGGAGGGGAGCAGGAAGGGCTTTGGGGATCCTCCGCTCCTCAGTCCCCAGCCTTGACTGCCTGGTCAGGCCATGCTCCACCCCCAGAGCCCCAGAGGGTTGGGTGGTGGACTTTGGAGCCAGCCTCTCTGAGTTCAGCTCTAGCCTGGCCACTTGTTAGCAAGTCGCTTAACTTCTCTGAGCCTCAGTTTCCACAGGTGTAAGATGGGGATGATAATCATAGTGTAAACTTGATGAAAATTTGATGAGTTAATGCAAACTCGAGTACTCAAAAAATTACACACTGAAGTGCTGCAGCACATAGTAGGTGCTATATAGTTACGCCAGGAGCTGGCATGATTTTTTTACACTGATTTTCTTTGTTTTTGGCAAGGGGCGGGGTACCAGGGATTGAACTCAGGGCACTCGGCCACTGAGCCCCATCCCCAGCCCTATTTTGTATTTTATTTAGAGACAGGGTCTCACTGAGTGGCTTAGTGCCTCACTGTTGCTGAGTCTGGCTTTGAACTCATGATCCTCCTGTCTCAGCCTCCTGAGCCACTGGGGGATTTACAGTTGTGTGCCAAGGTGCCCCCACCTACACGGATTTTCTTAATTCTCACAATAACCCATTGAGGCCCTATTATTCAACCCATTTTACAGAAACTGAAGAAACTGAAGTCACTGGACATAGTGGCACATGCCTATAATCCCAGTGACTTGGGAGGCTGAGGCAGGAGGATCACAGGTTTGAGGCCAGCCTTAGCTCCTTAGCAAGGCCCTAAGAAATTTAGTGAGACCTTGCCTCAAAATAAAAAATTAAAAAGGCTGGGGATGTGGCTCAGTGGTTAAGCACCCTTGGGTTCAATCCTCTGTACCATAAAAAAAAGAAAAAAAGAAAAAAGAAAAAGAAAGAAACAAGAAACTGAGGTCTACGGAGGTAAAGCAACTGGCTGCACCATGATGGTGAAGCTGGGACTCCCCTGGCCCTCTGAGAGGCCAGAGGCTCAGGGAGGAGAGGTGGGCTCTGGCCCAGGATCACACAGTAAGTGTGACCTCGGCTCTTGCCTCCCCACTGCAGCAAACACGTGGGCCCTGGCCCTGGAGCAGGTATCGGCAGGGGTGGGCTCACGGCTGGCTGGTGGGAGCCATGCCCCTGCCCAGGATTCCCTTCCTGCCTCTCAAGACCCTGTCCTCCGGGCCCAGGAGTTCTTGGTCCCCTCACCCCTTGGCCTGCCCCGCTGCACAGACAACTGAATAGAGAAAGACTAAAGAAGGCAACAATGCCCACCCGGGCCCCATGGGCGGCCCACCCAGCCACTGTGGTCCGTGAGCAAGACCCGGCTCCTCCCTGAGCCTCCATCTCCCCATTTGTCAAGCCACCTTCTCTCTAGAGCCCCAGCTGGCTCAGAACCCAAGGATCACATGTGTGCCCTCTTTTACTGAGCACCTACTACGTGCCGGCAATGAGCTTTACACCTCCCACAGGCTGTCACTGTGCCCTGTGATGCTCAAGGGGCCACTTAGCTCCTTTGGGCCATCTCCTCTCCCGTGGAAAGGGAGGGAGTGCCCACGGCACCGGGTGGGTTCCAGGATACACGAGTCCATATGTGTTCGATGGACACAGGTCATTCCTTCCCCTGTACTGACAGGCAGCCGAGGCTCGGAAGGGGAATGGGAAACCCTGGGAAGGCTTCCTGCCCCGGCCTTCATTGTCCCCACCTGCGACCCCCCTAAGAGCTGGAGTCAGCAGTGGGGAGGGGAAAGATGGGAGGGGGCTGGTGATGGAGCCCCAGGGGGGTCCTGAGCCCCCAGCCCAGCTCGACTGCGTGTGAGACATGGAGGCCACAGACCTGGGGAGCGGGAAGCCGTCAGGGGGCTACCACGGAAACAGGGGTCTCCCAGGCAGGTGGGGGCCAAGGGAAAGGCAGCCAAGAGCAGAGAACAGGACTCTCAGGAGAAAGGCAGCCCAAGGCCCCGGGGTCCTAGCACACTGGAGCTGGGCCTTCCCTCTCGGAGCCTGCCTCTCCATCCGGAAAATGGGAACAGTGGAAGCTTCTGGAATGAACGCTGTGAGGACCAAGGGAGTTGACCTGGGCCAGCTCAGGCAAGGCCGGGTATGGGAAGCTCTTAACAAGTGCTAGCTCTTGGTGTTGTTGTTCTGATCAAAATGGGCCTCCTCAAATAGCTCCCAGGGGACTGGGGAGACTGGGATGCTTCTGATGGGAGCGGCTCCAAGCCATGGTCACCTGTGCCCAGGACTGTTCCCTAGAGCTATCAGCCGGTAGCCGCCTACTGCCTACGCTGCCGTGCCCAGGCCCAGGCGGCACCCCGTGCATCCTCACACTCTGGCATGCATAGCACAATGTCCTATGATATTTGTCGAATGATCACATTATTTTTGTTTTCGGAACACGCCAACCTGGGGTGAGCCATATCTTCCAGCCAACTCTTCCAACCGGCATCCAGAGGCCCGGCTGCATTCCTCCAGCCCCGAGTCCGCCCCACCCACTTACATCTGGGCCACCCGGGCTATCCCCTCCCAGGCCCTGTGGCCCGGCTCCCTACTCACACGACACCGGGCCTGCGGCAGGACTCTGAGGTCCAGTAGAAACTCTTCACCAGACGCTGGGGCAGCGGGAGGCGGATGTAGTCCCGGCAGCAGATGCTGTCTTCCACGTTGGCGCCATAGGGGCCTGGGACAGGGATGCCCAGGGGTGAGCAAGGTGGAGCACAGAGAGGTCACCCTGGGCCCCAGCCCCCGGCCCAGGCCCCTCCGGGGAAGAGATTCTGCTCTCACGTGGAAGGATGGTGTCCAGAAGATTCTAGGCCTTCAAAAACCCTAGCCTCTGAGGAGCCATGAGGGCCCCGGACCTGCACTCTGGAGTGGGTGGCTCAGGGGGTGGGATGAGAGCCCCAGCTTCCCGGTGGGTCTCAGCCACTCTGAGCCAGAAGGATCCTGGGACTTGCCACAGGGTGAGGCCTGCGGACCAGCAGCTTCGGCTGACAAGTGGGTTGGTCACGGTCCCCACTTCATGGGCCTTCTGTGCTGGGGAAGCTCTGAGGACACTCCACACTGTGAGCAGTGACATGGTGGCTGTCTGACTCTACCTGACCCAGAGCAGGGAGCCCATGTGTGGACCCCCACATTGAGGGTGGGTGCCAGAGAAACTGGGTGGTGGGAACAGGACCCACTTTCCAAGCTGTCCCCGCTCTGCCTTTTCCTACTCAGGTCAGGCCCAAGGGGGCTCTGCATCCACACCCCAAGGGACCACACCACAACCCCCCAACCTAGTGGAGACAGCTCTAGATGCCAAGCCTTTAGATCACCCATTTAACAGCTGTGTAAACTGAGGCCCAGGAGAGCCCTGCGACCAACCCAAAGCCGGAGGACCAACAGCCGGCTGGGCTCTTCTGCCCTCAGCGCAGTGCCCTCTCCAGGAGCGGGGCCTGGGCTGGCCTCTGGGGGGAATCCTCCTGCTCCCCAGTCTCACCTGCATCCGTTGCCTGTAGAGCCACCGAGAGGAGGATGAGGGCCACCAGGAGCGGAGCCTGCAGGCTGGCCATGCTCTGTGCTGTGAGTGCCGGCTCAGGCGTCTGCAGTCACCAGGGGACAGGAGGCCCTGGTATTTAAGCCATCCCTCCACCCACCAGGCTCAGACACCTCTTAGTCACCCGTGAGCCCAGAGCCCCTGACATTCAGATCTGGAAAGGAGAAGTCCTCACTTCCTCCCCAGGAGATTCTGTGGCGGGGAACCACTCGGGGGGACCCCCACCCGTCCAACTCCGGGCCTCCAGAGATTTACAAAATCCCCCCTGAGCCAGGCCTCCAGGCCCCTCCCTCCCGGGGTCTGCATGCCCAGGGGCCTTGTCCCTGCAGGTCTGGGGGGCTGGTCTCCCAGGAGGGGGTGGGGAGGTGCTTCCATGACCTGTGTCCCTCAGCGGGTGACGTGACAAGCCCTCTCCCGGAGCTGAGGCCCGTCTCCGGCTTGACCCACGTCACCCACTTCTCTTGGAGGGGAGTGGCCATGAGCCCCTGGGGTTGGTCTCTGCCCCTTCCTAGCCTTCTGGGGCTTCTCCCTAAGTCCCCACCTGGGCCACCTAGAGCTTGTGGGCCACTCATGAGTCTTTAAGGAGTCTCCACACCCCCACCTTTCTCCTTCTTACCCTCCTCCCCATCGGACACCGTGACCACTGGTTCTACTTCCCCAACCTCCCCCGATCCCCGTCCCCACTGCCCCTGCCCCACTGAGGTCACCTCCACCTCAGTCTCGGACACCGTCCCCTCCATCCCTTCCCCACACGGCAGCAGCCACAGGGCGTGGCCCAGACGAGCTGGACACCCCTCTCCCTGCTTCAAACCCTGCTGGGCTCCCCGTGGACCTGAGCGGGGCCAGGCCCCTAGCCTGGCGGCCCAGGCCTCCTCTCCTGACCTGCCCCCGTGGCCTCCCGCCCTGCGGGTCACACCACGCTCCTCACAGTTCCTCAAAGAGGTCTGCAGCCTGCCCCGGCGCGATTCCACTTTCCACTCCTCCACCGCACAGACTCCAAGGCATGCGTCAGGAGCCGATGAAGAGGTCACCTCCTTGGTGAGCCACCCCCGCAGGGCGTTCCACTGTCCCAGGGACCCCAGCCCGCTGGGCCAGGTTCTGTCTTTCTCAGGTTCCTCAGAAGCCAAACCCCAAGTGCTCCGAGGGCTGGTGTCCCCTTTCTTGCTGTCCCCAGTCCCCTCCAAGGACCAGGCTCAAGTGGAGCTCAGAAACTGAGGCTCGGAGCAAGAGAGGACTTGTCCGAAATGACCCGGCCTCACAGCGCCTGAGCCAGGCCTGCACCCCAAGACTCAGGGTCCCGTGGGCCGGGGACCCATCCCCGACTCGCTCGTTCCTTCATTTCACAAGTGGCCATTGAACCCTGGGTGGAGCAATGGTCTCCTAAAAAGAGCCACGTCCTAAACCCTCCATCTGTGAATGTGTCACCTTACGTGCTGAAGAGGACTTTGCAGGTATGGTTAAGCTGAAGACCTTAAAATGGGGAGATGTCCTGGGTCATTCAAGTGACCAGGCAATCCCAGGGTCATCCCAAGAGAGGGCAGTGGCCAGAGTCAGAAGAGGACACAGGGTGACAGGGCAGGGACCAAACGGTGCAGGACTGTGGAGCCAGGCAAGCAGGGACCTGGAGGAGCTGGAGAGGGTGAGGAACCGGAGGGTACCCAGAGCCACCGGGGAGCACGGCCCTGGCCACGCCTTGAGTAGTCCAATGAGACAGTTAAGACGTCAGCTTCCTGAGCCGCACCGCTGTACACTCGTGTGGTTTGTGGTGATTTGTTAAAGCAGCGAGGAGGAACTAACACAAGCACCTACTATGTGCCTGGTGTGCTGCCAAGAGTTGGGGAAAGCAGAGTTCCCTGCGTCTGTGGCGTTTGCCTCTGAGACAGACAACAGGCAAATAATACCAGACAAGGGCATGTCCCTGTGATGAATGCCACCAAGACAACAGGAAAGGGGAGAACAGGCAGACCAGGGGGAGCAGCTGTGGGCAGCAGCTGTGGACACGGAAGGCCTCAGGAGGGAGTGACGTTCCAGGTTCCAGCCAAGACCCAGAAAACAGGGTGGAGCCTTCCAGGGAGAAAACACAAGTGCAAAGGCCCTGTGGTGGTCGGGACGGGGTGGGCGTGGGGGTAAGAGCTGGGAGAGTGCTGGCCCAGCAGGGTGGCCAGAGGGGAGAGGCTGACAGGCAGGTCAGGCAGAGGGCCCATGAGCCTCCTGAAAGGACTCAACACAACGGGCACAGCCCTGCCTTGGGGGGCTCTTGGCCAAGGACACTACACCAGCCTCGTCATAAAGGGACAATGTCTGATTCCACGCGGTCCAGTCCCTAGAGTGGTCACATCCATAAACCCAGAAGGTGGCGGGGGTTGCCAGGGGCTGAGGCGGGATCGGGGAGGGGCACTGGGAGTTAGTGTCTGATGGGATGGAGTCTCAGTTCTGGAGACAGACTGTGGTGATGGCTGCCAACCGCGAGAGCACATTTCATGTCACTGCGTTGCACAGTTGTTATGTGTTTTTTACCAATAAAGTGTCCCTCCAAATCCAGACAAGCCCCTGGGACTAATGTTCAGTTAAATATATATGTACACGCTCTCAGGACTAACTTCCAGTTTCAAAAAGAAATACAGGAAGCAGAAGAAGATAAATGACCCAATAAGGAAGCAATCAGACAGAGGGGCCTTCAGACCTCTGCAGGGCCACTTCCCAGGGCCAGCGAGAAGATAACGCCATTTAGAAAACAATGTTAAGTGGCCAGGACATTTAGTGTCAGTCTCTAGGGACGTAAGGGACATAGCAGCCAAATGCAGTATACGGACCTGGGTTGAATTCTAGATTTTATTGTTGGTTTGTTTTGTTTTTTGGTACCAGGGATTGAACCAGGGGCACCGAACCACTGAGCCACATCCCCAGCCTTTTTCATATTTTATTTAGAGACAGGGTCTCACCAAGTGGCTCACGGCCTTGCTACGTTGCTGAGGCTGGCCTTGAACTTGAGATCCTCCTGCCTCAGCCTCCCTGGCCACTGGGATTATAGGTGTGCACCACCAGACCCGGCAGGACTTCTAGTTTTGAAAACCAGCTGTAAGAGACCTTTGGAGAACATCCGGGGAACCTGAATGTAGCCTGGGTGTGGGGTGACAGTAGGGTTTGTTGTTGATCTCCCTGGGTGCATGAAGGCTTCGTGGGTTGCAGGAGAAAGGTCCCATTCTTAGGAGATAGGCCTTGAAGGAAGTATCTGGAGATGAAGGTCATGATGTCCTTGATTTCAAAGAGTTCAGGGGAAAATGCGTGTGTGCGGTGTGTATGCAGATGAGGGGGTAGGGGTATACAAATATGCATGTACGTGCACTTGAAAGTTTTGTCAAATGCACACAGAGATACACTGATGTCTATGTACTCTGTGTGTGTGTGAGTGTGTGTGTGTGTGTGTGTGTGTGTGTGAGTGTGTGTGTGCTTGGCTCTGTGCATAAGGGTGAGAAAGTCCCCAGGGAGAGAAAGGTGAGACAAAGCAAAAATGGCAAAATGCACCAGGGTGACAAGGGTACAGCCTGGTGGCAAATGTCCTGGGGATGGCTGAACTACTTACAGTTCTTCCTGGACATTTCAAATGTCATGAAGAAGCCTGCTATGCTGCCCAGGCTGCTGTCAAACTCCTGCTTCAGCCAATACATATCTGAAGCGGAGCCATCCTGTGAGCACAGAGCCGTCGCTGGAGGATGGAGTGACCGCATTGGTGCTGGGTTTTCCTCTGAACTTGGGGTTTTCTTACAGGGGCTCTGCCAGGGCTGAGGCCCTGCATGGGTGGGCTGAGGGACATCCTGGAGAGCATCTGGGTCCCCAGGGACTCGGCCGGGCCCCAGGTCCCTCCGGGCTCTGCAGCAGCGCCCCAGCCCCAGCCCCTTCCCTGTGGGCCTGTGGCCTCTGCTCCCCGGCGCCCTTGGGCTCCCTAGGGCTGAAGAAGGGGTGGGCGCCCAGACAGGCCCAGGGGCGGGCTGGTCTTCTAAAATACAAGGGGAGCCGGTTCCTCTCGGGCTGCAGATGGGGAACCACTGGGGCACAGCTGGACGCACGGATGACCAGGTGTTTTCTCTCCTCCTAGGAAGTGACACTGCCTCACCCCGTGCTGCTGCGGTGTGTGCCTGTCTCCCAGACCCAATCCTCTGCCCCAGCCTTCCTTCTCCTCTTGTTTGAACTAACTTTCATTTATTTAAAAAAAACCCAAAAAACAAAAAAACAAAGCCAGGTCTCTGTACAGTGGCACCCGCTGTGGTCCCAGCTACTCCGGAGGCCAAGGCAGGAGGATGGCCTGAGCCCAGGAGTCGAGGCCATCTGGGCAGCGGAGGGAGACCCCGTCTCATAAACAAGCAAACAATAAAATACACAAAGGAAGAAACACCCCAAACGTCCATGAACCGACCAACAGACAGGAAAGGGCAGGCCGGGCGTGGGATGGACGTTATTGGGTCTTTAAAGGGAAGGACGGTCTGACACCCAGAGGGACCTGAGACACTGCTGGGCAAAGTCAACCCAGGACAAAAGGACCGATGCGGGGTCACTGCACTTCCAGGAGGGGCCTGGAGGAGTCAAACTCATGGAGACAGAGAGCAGAGGGAGGCTGCCAGAGCGGGGAGGCGGGGAGCGGCGTGTGTTTTATGGGGACAGAGCTTCCTTTTGGGAAGATGAAGGACTTCTAGAGACGGACGGAGTGTGCGAGGCCGCCCCGTGGCTGGAGGTAAGGCTGCTCAACCGCACACTTAAAAATGCTTAGAATTTAGGATGTGGTGGCAGGCCGGTGGTGGACCCAGGCTTGGAATGGGAGGCCCTAAGTTTGATCCCCAGCACTGCAAAACAAAAATAAACACATAAAAAGTTCAAATGGTGGATTTTCTGTGATGCACATTTTATCACAATAAAAATGCATAAAATCCGGTGTGCATTTCCACAAAGGCACTGCTCACTCCTGGAAAGATACATAAGCGACTTGATAGCATTAGCTGCCTCTGGAGAGGGGCCCTCGGCCGCGGGCAGGGTGAGTGACTTTCCGCCAAACACCTTCTTGTGTGATTTGACTTTTCCGTGTGCATGAACGGC